GTGTGGGGCACCTCGACAATAAGTCATGTGATTTAGTTAGTAGTGTCAAACTTTCTGAACTCCTCCCTTCTTCTAATCTTAAGTTCTTCAAAGTCCTGTCTACCGGTTCTCTGTTTTACCTCTCCAAATGCGGCGTACCACTGTTCGAGCACATATGACTGCTGACTGTCTTCGTGTATTCCAACGAATCGGGTCCGAGAAAGTTGCCACATCCAATGAGTACGTACGAAGGTAAGGCGCGTTCTGTTTGGAGACGAGTGATTCGAGTGAATGCTGGTCACAGACAACGTCCACGTGGATCTAAGTGAACGAAGGTCTTAAAATAAAGACAGTATACCGATGCGAACCTCACGTGGATGGTAGATATGACTTCCGCGGCCCGCCCGACGCATTATATGCCACAATCCCATGGAACTTTCCCACTAACAACGCTCAACCAGCCATGAAGGTGTTCACTCCATGTGTTGCATTATATGTGCTGTGTGCTCCAGCTTTGGCTCAAAGTCAACAAACTTTCTTGTCAGGCGATGCGGAGCGAGTTGAGGGGTACGAATCGTTGCTTTCCGGAAGTACTGTTATTGATATTGTAGTAGTATTAATAGCGCGTCCGGCGTTCGAACATTACAGCTCTCGTCGATCCCAACAGATACGTTTACTAGCTTTTCTCATCCTGCATTTCCAGGAAGGAGCGCAAGGATTAAAAAGTCGGACTTTTGTGATGGTGGTATTGCGTATGTCAATTCCTCTTTACTTCGTCGTGCGCGTCCGTCCGCTCATACTCAAATGATATTTTCCAATCACAGTGCATATACTGGCTATATTGATGTTGGTCCGAAACATTTCTTCTTCTACTTCTTTGAGAGTAGAAGCAACCCCGATGAAGATGATGTCCTTCTCTGGACAAACGGCGGACCAGGCGCCTCCTCCGCCCTCGGTCTTTTTGTGGAACTTGGTTTGTAATCTTGGTTAATTTCAAGAACAGACTGATTTCAAAGTGTTAAACCCCTTCATTTCCCACTTAACCTCTCTTTCTCTGAAGGTCCGTGCCGGATTACGAGTCCCAATACTACAAAATACAATCCATACTCCTGGAACACGAACGCAAATATTTTCTTCATTGACCAACCCACCGGAACTGGCTTCTCATATAATGACCTTGGAGACATAGTTGTGAGTCCCTTAAACAAATTTGCTCCTCTGCACGTTATTCACCATATTTGCAGTCGACGACTGAAGAAGCTGCACAGGATATCGCCGCTTTCGTGGCCGTATTCTTCGAGACTTTCGACAGGTTCAAGGGCAGAAACTTCCATTTAAGCGGAGAATCTTATGGTGTGGGTACCTCCATCATGGATCATTTTTGCGATTGAGTCCTACGTTTCCTAATTCCACTTGCGTCTGATAGGGACGTTATCTTCCGGTCTTTGGAGCCGCCGTTTATGACCAAAATTCGTTGCTGATTGAGAAAGGCTTTGAACCGATTAACCTTAAATCAGTTATGATAGGTTTGTCCATTTCTTCTCTACTACAGATACGTGTTGTTTGATGCATTGCTGTAGGGAATGGGGTGACTGATCGGTTCACGTGCGTAACGTTTTCAATTTCAAGAATACCTTAACGCGGGCGGGTCGATTTACGTTGGCGAAAATTAGTAATTTACGCTCGTATTACGACATGCAATGCACAACTGCGGGAATTGGGCCTCTGCAGCCCATTTCAACGTGTGTTCGCATGAAACAAGGGGTGGGCCCACTTCCCTTCCATCCATTATCTAAATAATAATGGCTAGTGGCTTGATTTTTATTTCTCATTAAGCTTCCTCGCTGTGAGAAGCAACAAAAGGAAGCCTGCATTGATCATTTCGACTTGATTGACTGCTCTTCTGCGTTCACCTTTTGTACAAATGAGCTCATGGCGCCTTACAACGCTGCAGGTCAGAGGTCTTGTCGTTTCTATATGTACCTCGCGCAAAACTGAATGCCTCCGAAAGGATACAATCCTTATGACATGACAATGAAATGCGATGCTTTAGACTGTTATCCAGAAGACAGGTAATGCTTTCACTTATCCAATTTTGTCCAGGCTGACTAAATTAATTCCATCTCAGGGACGTCACCGCCTTCCTGAACAATGCGACTACTCAGAAAGCGCTCGGACTCGACAAGGGAATGAATTTCTCAACCATTGCTCGGGCCGTCAATTCAGCCTTCTTGGCTGCCGGTGACAAAACGCATGACTCGAAGCAATACGTTGTTGAGTTACTTGCACGCGGCGTCAAGGTCCTAATATATGCGGGCACACATGACTTCATTTGTAATTGGCTGGGAAATGAGCGGTGGACGCTGGACTTGGACTGGCCCGGAAGGTCTGAATTCTCAGGTATTCCTCTGCAGGAATGGTTTGTAGATGATAGCCCTGCTGGTAAGACACGCACATATGGAAATTTTTCATTTGCCACTATATACGCTGCTGGTCATCTTGTAAGTGTATATTCTCGTCAGGTCCGATTGCTTGGAACCCGTTTTTCTAATGAACTTTGTTTAAATGTAGGCACCGCATGATAAACCGGTGGAGTCACTGGCGATGTTACAGCGCTGGTTGGCAGACAAGCCTCTCTGAGTCTAGCTTATTCAAGATGTGAATTGAGGTCAGGGAGGGAAATGTTTTCTCTCTTTGTAAATTAATACTAATACTATTAGGTTTGTCGCCTGCAGAAAAACAGAGTTATGCCATTTTACGCAGTCGAACGGATGATCGAGATTACGAAGGAACAACATGAATGCTACACATTCCCTATATTATATGCTGTATATGATGGCAGAAAATAAGTCTTTGCAAACATGTTTGCAGATTCATCATGAACCGCGGGTAATGGGGAAGTCGAAGAGGGCCAACGTCGAGACCGCACATGTTCAAGGTGATGCTGACTAAGCTAATGGGCACCTGAAATACGTCCTTCCACAGCCCGGTTCTAACAGAATATCTATCCAACTTCTATATCTCTACCATTAGAAAGCTTAAGGCTATCCATTAGTGAGGATTGATTATCAATTTCGGGAGAGGCAGGGAAAAGAACGCGACGCTCTGGTTTGCAATGATTCTAATATATACATGTAATGCATCTTTCCACACCACCGTTCCAACCCTCCAACATTTCTGTCTAGTTACAGTAAATCTCAAGAATTGATTTTGCGAGCCTGTCACAGAAAGGAGAAAATGTCAAGCTCGAGAGGAACAGGTGATAGAGACTGGGAAGTTATTCCTGTTTGAGGCGATATTATGGCATATCATATTTACAAAAAGGGCATTCAGAAGGACTGCTCAGGCAAGAAAGAATACCATATAATTCGCTTGGAAAATGGTCTAGAAGCTAGTTGCCAATGATGAAGTTTGCGACTATTTTTGATAGAGGTTGGAGGGGATGGAAGACGAGGATTTAACCACTTTGTATAGCAAAGGGTGTCTTTGAATTGATCCTGAATGTTTATACACCCGCGTCAGGAGAAAGTCAAAATTATTATATACTCTTATATGTATCTAAAATATGTAAAAAAACAATATTATCCATAATGACATTTATTGCACCCCTCATTGGATAAGATATATAAAAGATACTATAAGGTTGTAATAAGATAGATTTATATTATGAGAATTAATAAACATTACATGTCTTTACAATAGGGATATAAGAATTATAGTTCTTAGGAAAGTCTATAATGGTATATATTGCACCCCTCTTTTGATATGGCATAATATTTCTTATGCTATCTTATAATCCTTATATAAGTTAATTTACAGCTTATATCTTATCTGAATGGCTTATTATACAATATATATTTTATTTAAATATTTTATTCTTTACTAACAACGATACATAATATTAATACATTATGATAGGAGCAAAAGTATCACTACCTTATCAAATCACAACAACTGATAGACGTACCGTGGGTATTCATCTCCTCGTGCTCTTTCTTCCCCTGCTTCGCGAGTTCGTCCCAGTACTTACG